ATTCCACCGATCACTTAAAACGGCAATAAAGTGTTACGAAACTGAGCACTGGACAGATGTACTCCCCTCAGTTCTTATGGGCCTTAGATCAGTGATTAAAGAAGATCTAGGTTTAACACCTGCAGAAATTGTATTTGGAAGTACGATTAGATTACCTAATGAGTTTTTTATGCAGTCATCAGTGGCGACAGACCCTTGTTCCTTTGCTGAAACACTAAAGAAAACAATGGAAACCATACGCCCAGTGTCAACTTCAAACCACGGAAGTAAAAAAGTTTTTATATATAAAGATCTAGCATCCTGTTCACACGTTTTCGTTCGGGTCGACCGGGTCAAGAAACCGCTAGAACAACCATATGAAGGGCCGTACAAAATTGTTCAACGATACGAAAAAACCTTTAAATTATTAATTAGGCAAAAAGAATGTATCATATCAATAGACAGACTGAAGCCATGTTTCAACGAAAATGAAGATAATAACACAAATCTATCAATAACAACGAACCAGCAAAACCAGAGAAATACAACTACAAGACCAACAATAATACAAACAAAACAAACCAAGTCAGGAAGAACCATCCGCCTCCCCGTAAGGTTTTTGTAAATTGTGAATTGTATCACTTTTATATTTGTATTTGTATTTTTATATTTGATATTTGTAACTATGTATGTTTAACGTAAAATTATCGTTTTCACTGGAAAGGGGGTAATGTAGGGATTAACAAAGATGTTAAATAACATGTCACAATGAATGCGTTTATATATGTTTATATGTTTTATCTTAGATGTACTGCAGTACGATAACACTCCGTGTATTTTTTTTAGTCTCGCGCTGTTCGTCAATCCAGTGACACTTTTTATTTGTACTCTTTTTTTATGTACGTATAAAATTATTTTTCATTATTAAAAAGTATTAATTATTATAAATTTTAATTGTAGTATTTTGTAATAAATATAAACACCAAAACACTACAATAACTATTACTTCTATTTAAGTGATCTTTTACGATAAAAATACAAAAAAATATTGAGCTTTACTGATGAATTTACTATAAATAATAATTATAAAATTTCCTGACTGCATATTAACCTTAACAATACAATTTTTTTTAAATTTTGTATTTAACATTTTCAAATTTGAGCTAATAGTCATTAACTTTCACAAAAATCAACTTTAAAGGACCAAAAAATTAGGTTAAAAATGACATTTTTGCTGATTATATTTAACATATTAAAAATCAAAATTAGTAATAATTTGAAAACAAATTTTGTTCATAATTGTTTTTTTATATGTAAATTCTAATTTTAAAAATTTAGTACTAGTAAACTAGTAAAAATATCAAAACTTGGATGTGATAGAAATAGTCTAATTACAGATTTGTTAACAGTGCAAAAAGTTGATTTTGAAAAATATATTTTTGATTCCGATGAAAGTTCCTTGTAAAACGAAGTATTTATTTATAAAGTATTGCATCAAACCCTTTAATTTTTTACATGTTTGTCATAGAAGGAATATTATATACTACTTTATAATTTTTTTTATTTCTATGTAAAAATTATATATATTTATTCATAAATTATACTTTTAAATCTAAGAACTTTTAATCAGGATATAAGGAAACAGATAGGGCGATTCTAAGACTTTTCAGATAACTTATTTCGACGAATTTAATATCAGGATTTATTTCAACTATTCTACATGTTACTTGATACAATAAATAAAGGCTTCACAAGATCTTGTAAGGATTCAGCAGGTCCTCTCGAAGGGCATCGTTGGATCTTGATCTTTATACCAAATTACCTAGGTGCGCCGAATTGTTTAAATAACAGTTTTTTTATCCTTTAATTTATGATTGAAAAAATTTGTTTAAAACCTAAATTTAGGTGTATTATTATATTAATAGAACTAAAAAAGGATCCAAAAATTTTTTATCGATAATTGTAATAGATAATTTTATTTTGAAAGGATTTCCAATAAATGACGGAACCGCATTAAGTACTATTGAACTTAAATTGTCTAATTCAATTATGTTTTATGAACAATAGGTAATAAATTATTTTTACAATAATACAATATCACAATTCAATATAATTTTTGAAAAATAATATGACTGGAAACATTGCATATGTATAACACAATACTTGACATAAACTTACAACATACTAATAATTTAATACAATAATGTATATTTAACAATTATAAAATATGGTATTATTTTTTACAATAATTAGATCGATATTATTGGTGAATATTGACATTATTATTATTAAAAATAAATATGGATATAAAGTAAAATAATTATGTTCATTTCTGATTAAAGTCTTCTTTATTAGAAAATAGTAACAAATTTAACAATAAGGCGTTTTAATAAGGTCCTGTTGGTGGTGCGTAAAGTGACTACCTTTACAATATCATTAGCTCCTGGACAAAGGCTTTCGACTTTAACCAACTTTCAATTCATTGTAGCTAATTTATCCTCCCTTAATAGTCCAAAATCTCCAATAACTACAGTTCTAAATAACGTTCTTCATTAAATGAATTTTATTTCTTTGCTATAATTAAGGACAGTATTCCAAACTCTACCTTTTTCAAGATTATACATAACTTCGGACTAACATATATCGTTTTAAAAATTGTCTGATCATAAGTGATTATCAACAGCCAAAAAACCGCCTCAAAAGTCCTCTTACTATTCTCAATTTGTGTGCTATTTCTTGTTTTTCCCTCTTTATAAAGAATTGAACCAAGCACTGAAATCGTTTAATTTGATTACGGTTTTGACTTTTGATAGAAAAAAGGAAAATTCGACTTTTGGAATCTAAAAATTTAGATTATCTACAAGTTTTGTAATAAAATACTTATAAAGTTTACTTTCATACAAATTTTTAATATTTAATTTTATTGATATTTCTAGATACATCATCATATACTGCTTCAACGGATTACAATGAGTTTCTTATTGGTGAACTTAAGAAACACCCAAATTTAAATTTTGAAATGATAAAACAATTAAAATACTTGTTAAATGGCGAAATTGAAGTCAAAGGTAAACTTATTTAAATGTATTATAAATATAACACATTATTATACGTTAAATATTCTTAATATCTCATATATTATTTCAATTAGATAAAGAAATTATTATGTTTCTACATAGCTCGTATTTTGATGTTGCGCGTGCTATTGAAATGCTTAAAGCAAATTATAAATACAGAGAGTCACATAAAAATTATTTTAATGATAGAAATCCAACATCAGAAAGAATGAAAACAGTCATAAATAATATGTAAGTGAATCTTTTAATAAATGTCTGTTAAATTCAGGTGAATGAAATGAAAAAAGTTTCCAGAGTTAATCAATATGGATTTATAAAATGTTTTATATAATGTTTTTATATAAATACATTACGTATATCCCTCTTATTTGATATAAATTTGTAAATATAATATATAAGCCTCTCTACATTTAGCTCACATAAAATAATGATTAAAATTTAAAGTTTATTAAATAAAAGTATGTAAAGTAATGGTAAGTTTTTGAGAAATTGATATTCATTCCAAATGTATATTAAATGGATATTGAGGGTTTCTCCCTCCAAATTGTATTCTGATTCGGAAATAAAATGATCTAACTACGATCAGAGTAATCAAACTTTCTTTAAGTATAGTTGCAAAAATCAAATTATAATAGTGATTTTAATCACTGATAGATTTTATTTAATACTTGGTTTTCTTTGTGCGATGTTTCAACATAACTAATTATTTTTTATAGTTTTACTTGGTATGGTGTGTTATCAAATTATCTAAAAGCAAATAATAACACTTATTTTAACTATTAAAAATTCAAATATTAAAAGTGGTATTAGTATGCAGGATTTTATCTATACTGGTATACTTTCCAATTCCTCGTATAATTTAAAATTATTAAATATTTTTATGTGTTATTATATTTTTAAAAACTAATGAATAATTTACAATTATCTTATAGGCACATGTCTATTTTATCAGCCTGTTCAGATGGATGGCACATTTATGCTCAAATAAGAAATACACAAGTTAAAAATTTTGAAATAAAAGATATCTTCTGCTATTTCTTTATGATGATTGAGTACTTAATAAAAACTCAAGGAGCAGTGGAGAGCGCAGTTTTTACGTTAAATTTTAAGGATTTTACAATATCACATTTTTATAAACTTTTGAAAATTGATACAAAAAAATTGACTATATTCTTGCAAGTAAGTATAATTTTCAAAAGAATAAAAATTTCATATGTTTATCAGCTGCCTTTGTTCAAGACTTCTATATTAAATGGAAAATCAAACATTTCATATGATGAGAAAAAAAAACCAGTATAGTGGGATCGCGGCATAGTGGGGATGTGGCATAGTTGGGTCCAGTATAAATGATATCTGACAGTAATTATAATCATTATCGTAAACAACGCTTCGATGCGATAATGTAGATAATGTTTAATTAAAAAAAATTAATGAATTATTCCAAAAGCAACATGAACTCCCATTTTCTTATTTATACCCTGATTGTAAGTTTTATGATTTATATGTGTAATATATGAATACTAGGCTCTGCCTAGCTGAGGCTCCGCGCCAGACAAGGGGCCCTACGAGCCTTAGTAACTTTGATAATATATTAAAAATGTTATTATTAAAATAAGGAAAATTCCAAAAGGGAATATAGTAAAATGTATTGGGTATAAGGTTAACATTTGTTAATAAGGTATTCCCTTTAGGCCTATTAAAAAATTATTTAATTAGGGTATTTAATATTTTTTACTTTGTTAAACATGTTATAGAATTTTTTTTTGCTAAAAATTAAAGTAATGATGAAAAAAAGGACATTAGGTTCTTATTTAAGAAGTTGCCTAAAATAATATTGATAGCGCTGGTTCAAGGGGAGCCCATATCTCCCATAAATACATCCCTGGTATACACAAAAATTATTAATATTCTAATTATAATAATTGTGTTTATATTATAGAATAATTACAAAAAAAATTAGCAGGCTATTTTACGTGACACTATGTAAAAAATTTTATTTTGATAAAAATATTGGTAACTGCGATTTAACGTTGGACAGCATAGTTGTTATAGATGAATTCTAATTTAAATGATAAACTAATAGACTCATATATCATATATGAGAAAAAAAAGATTATTAATAATGTACTGTTCTGATAAACATAAACTGATAAAGAAGAAACTTATATAACTATAACAGTCTTAAACATATGAGCAGNAAGAAACTTATATAACTATAACAGTCTTAAACATATGAGCAGAAATGAGTCAATGCGCATATTAAAACTTTGCGCGTGGACTTAAAAAAAAAAAGCTCGTAAAACGAAGAAAAATGAAGGAATTACGCTAAGTAATTTTCCCAGAAAAGCGTTTTTTTCCTTGTTCTATTATATAATAAGATATTTATATAAAAAAAGAATTTTTTTACAAATATCGTATTTTTTTTATTAATTTTGTTTTTACCATGAAAACTAAACAAAGTCTAAAATGGAAAATAATATTTTCCAATAATAACGTTATTAAAATATTATATCATTTTTAAAAAATGTTATTAAGGATATGATGACGTCTGATGTGTACATAGATGATGTGTCAAGTTGAAGTTTAGGATAAGGGTGGCCGACCACAAGTAGTTAGAATAAAAGCGAGGAAACATAATAAATTCTGGAAATCCATATTTAATATATAGACTAGATAAAGCATGCAAAATTATAAGTAAATTGATAAGTTTATCTAAAAATTTAACATAATTTAAGACCTTTTTCAGATAATATTCATATGCAACATTGCTTTATACATTTGTATATATGAGAGTACATTCATTTCATTTCACTTTTAGATTTACCTATGTACTTTTTCTATAAAATTTATAATTACTAAAATTTGCCTACTGTTGATTGATTTATCATTGATCATTAGATTTTTTCAAAAATCATAGTTATTTCAAGAAATATTTTGAATTTCTTTATTAGTAATTATCTCTGAATTTATAAATGATTAAATAAATTTTATGTCCACTCTTTATCTTTAAAAAACGGTATCACAGTGCGGTCGAGGCACAGTATAGACGTGGCATAGATGAGATAAGTATAGATGATATCTGACAGTGATTAAAATCACTATCATAAGAAACGCTTCGATGCAAATCTGTAGATAGTGTTTCCTTTAGAGAAATTGGTGAAATATTTTAAAAGCAACATGAACTCTTATTTCTTTAATTATATCCTGATTAGTAGTTCTTTGATTTTAAAATATAATATATGAATAAATACTAATTATAGTTTTTAAATTTAGTATGAAATTGTG